GCCAGAGGTACAAGCGCGAAAAATCCTGCACACAGAAACAAAAATCGTACAAAACGACCAAGTATAACCAGAGATACGGCCAATTCAAACATTAGACACACAAAAAGGCAGTCACACATCACAAGTACAAGCCATCACAGCACGAACATAAAGAACACCACGGCACGCATACATACAACAAGAGACAGCGTCGGGTCGAAAAGACAACCGGCCACAGAAGACAAAGACATCATACAAAGGACCTTACAAAAATTCAGCAAAATTACCACAAAATACAGCAAAATTGAAGCAAAATTAAACAAAAATACAAGTCAAGCCATCAAAAGACACAACGAAGAACCATCAAAGGAGCGACAGGTGCACACAGGGATCCCCGCAGAGGGACCCCCCCGGGGCACCTGGCCCGGCCACTGTGAATGCTTGCCGACCGCAGCTGGTTCAATTGACCTCAAGTCACCAACGACTTTCTAGCTCTGTCCCAACAGGCGCTTCTCAATCATTTGAAAATCACTTCCTCAACAACACGACGCGCTTCCTCACAACCCAAAACTGGTCTTCACACGCTGTGGAGCCTGACAAGGCGTCCTTGTTCGTCAAGGAACGATTCATGAGAAAAAAACGTGGTGGGTGTCGGGTGAGGGCAGCCGCTACGGTGAGCGCGCTGGAAGCAGCGAGTGACGGTGAGTGCCCGGCTGTGGACATGAATTCTCAAACATTTGAAAAGCACTTCCTCAACAATACGACGCGCGCTCCATGTGGCCTTTTCTCAAGTCCTTGCTCGACAAGCGCATTGTTAGCGTCAAATCCGTGCTTCCACGTTTTTGAGCACTCCTACTGCTTTCGCACACACTCAGCGTCGGTCACTATGGGTCTTCCTATTGGTATCCCATAGCTGCTACGACCTCACACATTGACACCTACATCTGAACCCCCTGATTGTTAGCGTCAAATCCGTGCTTCCACGCATTTGAGCACTCCCACTGCTTTCGCACACACTCAGCATCGGTCGCTACGGGTCTTCCTATTGGTATCCCATAGCTGCGACGACCTCACACTGACACCTACACTTGGACCCCCTGGGCCTGGTCCTCCTCGTGGGAGTCACATGAGTAAACACCGCGTGTGACGCGGTCCCCACGATGCCTGGGCAGCTGCCCTGGGGCAATAAGCTTGTGACTACTGTTGTTTCCCTTTGTTGTGGCACCTGCGGTCGGGCACGAGTTGCACTTTCCCTATCCTCGGGATTGAGCGACTCTACAGCTATTCTAACGGTGCACCTGGTCTGGTCACTGTGAATGCTTGCCGACCGCAGGTACGTCAAGCCCCCTGCCATTCTGTCTTCCCTTTGCTCTCCTGTGTGCTCTGCTCTCTTGCACTTTCCCTATCCTCGGGATTGAGCGACTCTACAGCTATTCTAACGGTGCACCTGGTCTGGTCACTGTGAATGCTTGCCGACCGCAGCTGGTTCAATTGACCTCAAGACACCACCAAAGCTTTCGCTCCGTCCCGACGGACGTCTCTCAAACCTCTCTCAAAACGCTTCCTCAAACTTACGCGCTTCCTCGCAACCCAAAGACGGCCTCCAGACGTGCTGGAGCCTGACACTGATCCTTCTTATGGCAGTCACATACACAAATGCTTGCAAGCATACAAGCAGAAATGACGCTCGGCATTTTCAGTAGTCAGAGACCGGCCTGGTTCGCGCGGAATTGATCTTTTCAGTCCAACCCGAAGCGAATCCGACGAACACGCCAAGGCGACATCTTACAGTCCCATTGGCACCAGCGCCAGCGCCATCTCGCCCGTGCACCACAATTGCTGTTCTCAACAGTTGGCCCAACTTGCTTATCCTCCGGTTCAAGTTGCAAAAAGTACGGTTTGTGCTTTTTTATTGCCGAGGGCTGCGTGAGTTGATGCATCGTCTTTATACGTTTTTGTCGTCAGTGGCGATCTGTCTGACAATAATGTAACTTGCGTTGCGGCGATGGCGCGCTTTTTTTTTTTTTTTTTTTTCCGCGCCCGTTTGCTGATTCATCGAAGCGTTTGTGCTGCGTGTCGTCTGTCTTTGTGAGTGTGTGAGTGTGTGAGTGTGGTCGGTGAGCTGGGATTGGCTGTGGTGCCATCCCCTCTTTGTGCCTTTGGATCTCTGGTTGACTTGAGACCATGTCGCCTGTGTTGGGAGGGCCGGCAGCCTTGTCGGTCGTGGTGTTGCTGAGCGTGACCGTGTTGTGTCGGACGGCTGAGCTGGTCGCATACGACGGCAACTTGGCCCTGGTACTCGAAGACCCCAACGTGAATCATGTCCTCATTGCCCAAGCCAACGACAACGAAGCTCAGATGTTTGCTGATCCCAATAACCGTCTCCTTACAAAGGTAAGTCAGGCAAAGCGTGGCCTCACCCCCTCCTCCGCCCGGCTTTCCTCGCTGCCCTCCACCTTTTTTTTTTTCCTTCTTCCTCTTGTAAGTGTGTGTGTTTGTCTTTTCTCACTGCTCGTGCTTTGCCTTTTTCCTCCTCCCCCCTGCTCCTCTGCCTGCCCTCCGGCCCGCTCCCGGCGTTTGGTATGGCTAGTCTGAGGTTGAAGCGCTGCTCTCCGAAATGGAAAATCGCTTTACGGCCGTCATCTCCAATCTCGAGGCCCGGCTCCAGCAGCAACTTGATATCAAACCCAATCGGACCGAGACCGTCTCACCTGCCGAGCTAGATGCTGCTGTGCGCACCGATGATGACATTCGCACCGTCGTTCACGCCATGGTCAGCAATGCGCCGGCCGCAAATTCTCTGCGGGCCGCCCTTGATGCCAAAGTGGACGTGGCCAACCAATACACGGATGAGCGTGCGCGCACGCTCATCAACACCATCGTCAACGATCCCGATGGTGACGACAGCAGCTTGCGCACGGCTCTCGATAGTCTCGATGCACGCGTCACCGCCGCGGAAACCAACCTCAATACAGATTGTGGTGCGGCTTGTGCCGCCGGCACGTACGAGTCTACTCCCTGCGACCCTGCCAGCGGCAGCGCTCGCGTTTGCGACACCTGCGCTGACAACACCTTTTCCTATGGCGGCTCTGTACCCGGCTGCACGACTTGTGAAGCCTGTGCGAATGAGCATTTCGAAGTTTACCCTTGCACCGTTTCCTCAGATCGCGTCTGTGCGCCCTGCGAGTCGTGCGTGCCAGGCAGCACATTTGAGATGACTGATTGCACGGCTACCACCGATCGCGTCTGCCTGGCTTGCGAGGCCTGCCCCGCTGGTACCTACATTGCCCAAGACTGTACCTTGAGCACCGATCGCGTCTGTGTCGAATGCAGCACGATCTGTCCCGAAGGCCAATGGCTGGCATCCTCCTGCACAGGGTTGACCTCGGGTGCGTGCCAGGCTTGCAGCACCTGCTCTGAGGGCTACTATCAGGTCAACGATTGCACCGCCACCTCGGATACTCTTTGCCTGCGCTGCACGGATTGTGGTGAGGATGAGGTTTCAACGCCGTGCTCGGCTACCCAAAACGCGGTGTGCATGCCCGCGGGCTGGGGGTTCAGCTCGGACCTCAACAACACCTTAGCCCAAGTGGACAATGCCAACGCTTACACGATGATTACTGGTTTTGCGACCGATACGTCGCAGTGGCACACCAGCTTCCTTCGGGCCGGCACCGCGTTCAATGGTTCCACGGCCGTGGTGGCTGACACGGGCTACTACTTGGTTTCGTTCAATGTGCGGTTTGACGGGCTTTCCGAAGAATGGGTGCACTGCTTCATGAGCTTCAATGGACAGATTAGCGTGGAACGCAACGGTTTGACCACCGTGCGTGGAACTAACAGCAACGACGAATGGTCGTTCACGGCGTCGGGGACGGTGCATTTGGAGGCTGGCGACACCTTTGACGTTCGTTTCAAGACCAGTACGGATGCCAACTATGCCATTCACGACGACACGGGATTGTCCGCGTATCGTATCAAGCCTACTGAGGGCATCTTTGCTGTTCTGCCCACGTATGCCACTGTGAGTGAGAGCGGGTGGTATCCGATCAATGGCTGGACGACTACAGCCACAGACAGCGCCACCAACTTTCTTTTCGGAGGTGCTCTGAAGAATTCAGCCTACGTGGTGAAGGAGAGTGGCGTTTTCCTGCTGAGCGCGACTGTGCGCCGCAACAACGCGGGCGTGACGCGGACAAGTTCACCCGAGTACTATACGCGCCTCGTGATTGCTGTCAATAACGACGCCACCTACAACTCGCCGCTACATGTTATTCAGGGAGCGCCCTTCCCCACCGACTATCTCTCCAGCTCGGTGGCTGGCCTGGCATACCTCGAGGCGGGTGACCACGTGCAACCTTATGGGTCTGCCTACGCCACTTACAACTTTCAATATACCCCCCAATCGCACTTTTCAGCCGTGCGCCTGGATACCAGTTATGCCTTTAGCGCCTTTCAACTGGACTCGCAGACGATTTCTGTGAGTGAGCCGTACGAGCTTGGGGGCTGGACGGCCTCGCCCGTGGACATGAATCTGTGCTTCAACAAAGGAGGTGCCTTTGATCCCAGCACCGGCCGCTTTACGGCCCACGTCACCGGGTACTATTACGCTGCCACCAACCTTCGCCTCGATGGGCTGGGCACTGCCACCAAGAGCACCGTCACCATCAAATCGAGCGCGGATGACTCCTTCAGTGATGCCGGCTTGTCTGCCGTGCGCACGCCCTACCTCACGGTCAACCCCCTATACCAGTCGACCAATGTGGCAGGCGTGATTTACCTCCGCAAGGGTGACTACATTTCTGTGTGGGTCCATGCACTCGGCATTTCAAACCCATACGCTGTGCACAAGGAAAGTGGTTTCGGAGCAGCCCTCCTCGACCCCATCTAATACCCATTTTATCACCGCCATCACTATGATTATGCGTGATGGCCTCGAGCCGTGTACCTGCGAGCGATGTGCTTTTGATGTTGATGATAGACATTTCCAATCTCACCATAGTAATACTAATATTATGGCCTTTGAATCGACACATTCAAACTTCATTTGATCTCTCGCATCTCCTGCGGGCTACCCATGACGTCGCACATGTTTGCTCAGCGCGCGCAGACACCCCCCAATGTACTCTACTCGCTCGGCACCTGCAGCTCTGGCGGCAGCAAATCCAGAGGTGAACAAGCCTGAGTTCGAAGTTCTATTTTTAGACGATTGCTTCTTTACTGTGTGGCGTTTGACACACTTTGTGCCTCGTCGTTTTTGCTGTGTTTGAGAGAGTGAACAGCGAAAGGGACACAGATGCAGAGATATAGGAGCATGAAGGCATGCATGTCAGAGACAGAGCGTGTTGTCAACCTTGATTCGTAAAATATCAGTGCATCTTGACATGAAAACCAGAGACACCTACACTCAAGCATACCTTGACAGAGACAGAGCTTGAACGAAGAAAACAAGAAGAGAGAGAGAGAGAGAGAGTTTTTTTTGGCTGGTACTGGACGAGAGAGCGCGCGCGCAGGGAAAACGGCAGCCGTCGTCGCTCGCTCGCTCGATCGATTGGGACGCGGACAGAGGGATCTGAATGCTCGGGCCTGTGTGTGCGTGTGTGCGTGTGGTGGGGCCGCGTCTTGTCGGGAATGGGTGACCTGATATTGCCCTTTTTGACTTGTGTAGAGCTGTGCGTGCACTGGACCGTGCGGTGCTGTGCTGTGCTGGGTGACTCCAAGGGCGTTCGCCGCAGCCGAGGAGAGTTGAATGCTCGGCGCCACCTGCTGTGAGAGTGACGAGATCAAGATTGGCAAGCCTGCCTGCAGTCGTGCCTTGCAGGTGCACACCCATATACCGGTTGCTTCGAGCGGTACGTTACTCGCACACTGTGATACTCACTGGCAAAGCCCGTTCCGTCTCCGTCGGTTTTTTTTTTTTTTTTACTACAACTGCTGCTGCTGCTGCTCTGTTTTCGGATCCTCTTGCTCCTTCCATCCCGTCTTCTTCTTCTACTGCTTCTTCTTCTTTGGTCAAACAGCACGCGTCGTCTCATGTGGCCCGCTTGGCGTTCGTCGCCGCCGCGCTTTTTTAACCACTCTGGAGCAGGTCCGCGTGCCGCGCGCTCAAGCATGGTTCTTACGAGCTGAAAGTCCCCCTTCCTGTCCTTGGTCCCACTCTGCATCGCCGTCTCGGGCAGACTGCTGCTGGACCTGCTTGACAACCCCTGGCCTTGTGGATCCGTGACCCTTCACCCTCAAATCATGGCTCATCTCCCCGCGCCCCGGCGCTCAAGCGCGCGCCGTCCACCACCCCTCTTGGGTATGCTCGACCACCCTCAGCAGTCATCCTTACCGTTCGCCCAATACAGCCTCACCTTTAACTACCAAACACCCTCAATAGACCTTGCCCCGTTTGCATCGCCCAAGACGGTGGTCATGCCGGAGGATGAGCAAGCGCCAACCGACCTCACTTCCAAGCTGACGCTTCTAGATGCACGCCACTATGACCCCGTAGCCTATCCGCCCCCCAATGCCGCAGAGGGGCCCACACGCATCAGACCCTTTTTCCTAGCCAAATCTAGTATCTACGTGGCCAGCTTGAAGTGCTCACCATCTATTGCCCCTGAGGAGCAGGGCGATGATCGGCAAGCTGCCATTCCCGCCAAGGTCTGTCTCAATCGCCGTGTCCCAAGCCAACCTCAAAATCCCTCCGCTCTTCCCCGCACGACGAAAAGCAAAGCAGCACCTGCCAAGCATATAGAGTGCCCCGCTCTGCCCTGCTGTGGATGGTTCTGATGATTTGCTAACCCCCGTCATCTTGCCCTCTTCTTTACTACAGCGGGCTGCCCCGGCAGAGCGCGTAGACCAGGCTAGCAAAGTGGTCGTTGTCAAATTTTGGTGTCTCAACGACACGGCCACAGAGAGTGCCGAAGCTCTGCTGGAAGCCAAAATGATGTTGGCAACTCAACACGAGAACGTCATTCGGTACCCAAGCGCGCGCCTCTGCCCCTCCTGCTCGCTAGCGTGCCGGCTTGCACAAACCTTTGTCTTATCCGACCCCTGGAACGCCCGGTTCGGGGACCAACCTGGCCACCGGCCCCGCATAGATTGTTTGGCGTAATGCGCTGGTATGGACGTATCGGCACTGTGATGGAGTTGGCATCCCACCCGGCTCGAACCCTCGATGGCCTCTTGCACCGTGTGGCGGAGGACCCAGCCATCTGGCGACGCGGCGACGTTTGGCATATCCTGACTGGGGTGGCCCGGGGCTTGAGTCACATGCACAAGCGAGGAATAGTCCATGGCGATCTCAAACCCAACAATGTACTACTACATGCCCAATCAGCTAGCAGTGATGGCGAACCGTGGTCTGCCGTACCGGCCTCGGGCTGTAGTGAGCCGCTGGACGGTGACGATTCTCAACCCTTTGTGCCGCGTTTTCGCCCGGTTTTGGGTGACTTTGGCTCGGCACAGCACCTGGATCAACCCGAGGAACGACCCACTGCCGGAGCTACCACTTTCTCACCGCCCCTCCCGTCCGACGCTCTCGAAGACCCGCGCTTGGATGACACATATCGCTTTGCCATGCTCATTTGGTGTATGACGACTTGCTCGTGGCCTTTTACGGACATGCTGCAACGTGTGAGCGAGGTTGATTTTTTTCACCAACTCGAGGTCAGTATCTTCCGTGGGCATCTTGCTCTCTGTTCTGGCCTCCCGAGCTACCCCTAAGAGAAACACGTGCCATCCTGTTTCTATCTGGCCTTGCTGTCATTGACTCTGTTTCGATCCTTGCCTGCTTCTTGTGCATATCCATCCTTGCACGGCTCAGCTTGGTACACGTCCTGCCTTACCGGATGGGCTCAGCTCGGATATTCGAGACCTGATCCGAGCGCTCTGGTCAACCCAAGATTATGAGGTACGCGTGGTATCACACATCTATATACAACTCGGTTTCTGTCTTTCGCTGTTTTGCATCATGCAAGGCTCACGGTGGACCTCAAACCCCATTGTGTTAGCGCGTGCCACCTACACGGGCCCTGCCGGCACTCGGTGATGCTAGCTCTGGGGATATGGCACCGATGCAACGCGTCGTGGACGCACTAGTAGATTTGCGCCGGGATACACTGTTTTGGCCTCTTGAAGCGCAAGGCCACGGTCCTATTTCCGCCGTGGGCACCTAATGGCTGCACACAGCAGTTGGTTTGACACAAGTCTTGTGCGAGTAACATCGCCGATTGGTTGTGCAAGATTGCCATGTGCCTGCCTGTATGAAGCCAGTGCGACTGGCAGAAAGGGCTGCGCTTGAGTTGAACGCGGCGACATTAGTGCTTTGCAAGTCAATTAAGTGAAGAAAGAAAACCAGGCTGGTGTACGTCTACAGGAAACAACGACAATTGAAAAACACAAAGCCACATGGTAGGGGACTAAACGTTCGATCGAACGAAAACTTGTGGAAGTTTTGCGCGTTTCCAAGAGAAGACAGGTCCAGAACTCAGTTTAAGGCATAATCAAAGACAGGACCAGAACTCAGTTTAAGGCATAATCAAGGGCGTTTCAACGCTCTTCGCATGCTGGCATGTACAAAGGTTGCTCGAGCCAAAAGGGCAAGAGCCTCTACTTGGGTTTTCGTTTCAGAGCATCCTTGGGACGTGGTGGACCAGTGTTGCGCTTGGCAGGACCCAGCTCCACCTTGCGTATGTTCTGGCCAAAGGAAAGGGTCATGGACGTTTCGCTGAGATTGCTCTCCAGTGGCGAGGTATTGACAAACATGGCCACCTTGGCATCTCCGCCGAGGCTATCCTGCAAAAGGTGCGTCAGCTTGGAGTTGCGGTAAGGGATGTGGGGCGAGCCCGAGGCGAGTGCCCGGAATACCTGACCCAAATTGGTCAGGCTTTTATTGATGGCCGCTGCTTCCACAAGTCGATCGCCAGATGCCTCCGTTTTGGAGACGCGTTCTGAGCCAGCCAAGTCGACTAGAGTCAGCTTGCCGTAGGTCGTGGCCCGCGTGATGGTATTGAAGCCTTGCACCTTGATCTGCAGCAGCAAGTGGGACCGCGACGAATCGGTATTCATTTTGGTGGCTCCTGTCGAACGATGCTGATTGCCAATCTCAATGAACTGTAAGAGATCTTCTGGTGTTGATACCTGCCACCACACCACCACCATCACGAATCGGGGTGAGTATCGCCAGCAAAGAAGGCGGGTGCTCAAATGCCCTCGAGATTTCACATCCTTGTTCTAGAAGGTGTGCCTCAAGGCAAAGGGAGGGTGAATCGGTATACCAAGATAGCATACCTCAGATTCGGTCAGGCCTTGCACTGTGATGCCCTGCGGAGTATTAATGATGGACAAGTTGCCCTCACGTTGAGGCGTGCTAAGATCGAAGATCTTTTCGTTATACACCTAATTGCAACAACAAGTTATGGCGTTGTGTATGAGCGACGGGCCTTGGACTCGACAATGCCTAGAATAAACTAAGATACAGCCACGATACGGGGGTTTGGGTGCATTGGCCTGACCTCCATGATAGAAACGCTAATGTGAAATTCGGTTTCCTCGCGCTTTCGACAAACCTACGGGGAACAACGGTCATATTTGTGTGACCATGTCATCAGGTCGCACACGAGGGCACATGCGCCAGAAGACATGAACGATGCAAACAGCCTTACGTCAAAGAGTTCCTTGATAGCACGCGGATTGACACCGGGATTATTGTCTGGGCCCATCATGGTAAACGTCTTGCCAGAGCCGGTTTGACCATAGGCCATGATGCAAACATTGTATCCGTCCACACAGGACATGACGATGGGCTTGGTGTCTTCGAAAACCTCCTCCTGGGAGGCGTTGGGACCAAAAGCCCGGTCAAACTCGAGTGTTTCCTTGCCGCCTTGCAACTTGGGCACGACGAGCTCGGATTTAGAGGGAAACTGCAAGATGCTTTCGCCTCGGTCATCGCGACGGACACGACAAAAGACGCTGTACAGCACAGCAAAAGAGGATGAGCAGAGAGTGGGTGTCGGGCAAAAGAAGAAAGCAAGTGATGGATGGGAAGCGAGGTGCTGAGAGAAGAACCAGCTACGGACCGAATATTGCCACGAAGCTCTTGCAGTTTGTTGTACAGTTCCTTGCGGAGCATGGCTTCCTTGAGGTACTTTTGAGTAATGTCCTTGAGGCGCTGGGAGCTGTTGTCAGCCAGCTGCTTGCTGGCAGAGACAGCCTGCTCGAAAAGAGAGCTGAGCTGATGGACATCCTCTTGCAACAGCTTTGACGCCGCTTGCTGGTCGGCCTGGAGCTTTTGCACCTTGCCTTGCAGCCTTTGCGCCACCTTGAGACCAGCCGTTGATGAGAGTGGGCTGTTAAGCTGCTGTTGCAAATTGGTCACCTTGAGCTTGAGGGCCACGTTGTCCATGCGCAACTTGGTAGCAGCATCCGACTGATAGAGGAGAGACGGACATCAAAAAAACAACGGCACTCCGTGAGGTACTTTTTCCAATGCTACTCCGGCCTGGGCATCGTGGGGCAAGCACTCAGCGGGTCGGCAAGGGACGCACCTCGTCTGCAGCGTTTTGGCGACCAGAATCACGCTCCGCGGTGATCTTGATAATCTGTTGCTCCAGGTTGGTGTTGGTTTCGCGGAGTTGCTTGATTTCCTGGCGCAGCTCTTCCAACTCCTCACTCATTTCGGCTTGAGCACGGGTGGAGCGGTCGGTTTCTAGCTGCACACGCGTCTTCTCACGAGTCAACTGTTTGGCCTGGGCTTCCTCTTGGGATGACAATTGACTGCGGAGAGTCTCGTTCTCAGCCTCGGCAGTGGCAAGCCGGGCTCGCAACTATGGCGTAAAGTAAGGTGAGCGGTGATACCACGCTGTTGGGTTTGTCAAGGCGAAAAATCTGCCCCGCCTTTGTGTGTATATCGGTTAAGATAAAGCCGTTTGTTGGTGAACAGAGGCCGTACCTCATCAACGAGCGTGGCGGCTTTGCCGGAGAGATGTACGTCTTCCCTTCCAGAATGCGAGTCCTTGGTGCGATGACGACGAGTGGTATCGTATACTATGAGCACGTGAACGCATGAACATGAGGGAGACCAGAGTGTGACGGGCTTTTGGCAACTGCTGTGGGGCACGGTCGCAAGCAGTCGCAACGTACAGCCTGCCGCGGTTTGCTCGCGCACGAGAGTGCCGGGAGTGGTCTCATCCAAGCTTCGGCCCGTCCAGCCCCAGTTGACGTCGGCAAAAGCCACGGCCTAGGCGCGATGCACCCATACCCCCACCGTGGTCGTTGTGAGACATGGTTTGAGATTGTGAGCAACTGCGACTTGATTAGGGTGCAAATGGCACATACTTCGTCAATGTCAAAGTTGACCTCGTGCAGCGCCTAAGTATGGGGGACATGCGCAAGGGTGAGCAATCAAAATTCAGGGGTGGCACAGGCCTTTGCAATGGCGGAGATTGGGCCAATAGAGGCGCTAGCACGTGTGTGCATGGCACGCGTGCCGGAAGGGAACCGCAAGAGAAAGCTGGTTGAATACCATGAGCTGTTCACGCCAGTTTGTCCATTGTGGGAAGAGATCGCTTAGTTGCTTGAGCTTGGCCTTGACCTCGGGGACCAAGCGCTCCCATTCGAGCGGCATTCGAATCCTGTTGGAGAAAAGAGATCAGAAGGAACAAAGGGAAGGGGGTAGTGAGCTCCAAGAACGGCTGGGAAAAAAACCCGTCTTTTGCAGGTGTCAACAGGGACGGGGCGCGAGCGCGTGTGGGAAGTAGGCGGAGAACCATGCGTACCACTCTTGGGTGTTGCTGTCAAGCACGAGGTAATAGTTGCGGGGGTGTTCGAGCAGATAGCAGAAAAATTCACCGTGGGCGGGGTGGGAGAGTTCGAAAAGACGATCGTCCGCCTGAGGCGAGGAACTTTGGTTGGGGGTGGCCGCGGTGCTTTCAACGTGGGTGGCGACATCTTGCTCGCTGAGAGCGTAAAGCCACTCTTCAGGGAAAGGCTCCCATTGGCCTTCGTCCCAGTCCATGTAGTAACGGCGTCCATCTTCCTCGACATAGGTGGTTACCTCGAGGCCCTCGGCCAGAGTGACGTACTCGAATACACGCTGAGGGGAGAAAGTGCGGGCATTGGCGCATTGTGGAGTGGAATGAGGGCGAACAAATGTGCGGGAGGGGCCGTGATGGGAGGGCTTGACAGTGAGCATTGGGATCAATCGTGAGGGCGTGCATACACACCTCTTCAATGCGTTGCTCGTTAAAGTTTTCTGGGCGCTGGTGCTGGATGCGACCGGTGCGCTTGTTCATGTAGACCTCTCTACCCTTGGCATCCGAGCCGATGCGAACCCAGTCGTTCCAGTCATCGGCTTGATTGGCGCAGACCTGTTTGAGGATCTGGCGGAGGGCGGGGAGAAACTCTTCATAAGAGATGAAGCCATCCTTGTCGGTGTCGGCTTCTGCGCAGATGGCATCCATCTCTGAGTCACTCAGTTTGAGGTTGAGCGTGTTGCTGGAGAGGACTTTGCGAAA